CTCTATCAAGCACATCAAGGAGGTAAAGTACCCCTCATGGCTGGCAAACGTAGTCCTCGCACAAAAACCGCCCTCATTCCGCATGTGCGTGGACTACACGGATCTCAACAAGGCGTGTCCCATGGACCCCTTTCCTTTGCCAAACATTGATCAACTTGTAGATGAAACCGCGGGGTGTGGAATCATGTCATTCCTCGATGTATTCCGCGGATATCATCAAATATTTATGCATGAGGAAGACGCTGAAAAAACAGCCTTCATGACTCCCGAGGGCATTTTCTACTACCTTGTCATGGCCTTCGGCCTAAAGAACTCAGGCGCCACCTACACTCGGATGGTGGCCAGGGTATTTCAAGCTGTCCTATGGCGTACCATGGAGGCATATGTTGACAACATGATCGTCAAAAGCAAGCAATCAGTGAGCCATGCTGACGACCTGAGAGAGATCTTCGCCATCATGCAGAAATTCAATCTTCGGCTGAACCCGAAGAAGTGTACCTTCGGCGTTCAAGGGGGCAAATTCTTGGGCTACATGGTGAGCCAAAGGGGTATCAAGGCCAACCCCGAGAAAATCTAGGCCATCATCAACATGGATCCCCCACGCAACGTAAATGAGGTCCAACGATTGACGGGCCGCCTGGCAGCCCTCAATCGCTTCTTATAAAAATCGGCGGAGAAGTCCTTACCCTTCTTCCAGATCATGAGAAAAACTGTCGGTTTTCAGTGGACTTCAGAGTGTCAGGGGGCCTTCGAGGAACTGAAGAGGTACTCATCTTCACCCCTTGTGCTCTCTAAACCCAAGGTGGGGGAGATCCTATACCTTTACCTGCGTATTAGCCCGGCAGCCATCAGCTCAGTACTCATCCGGGAAGAGGATGGCATCCAACATGCCATCTTCTATGTTAGCAAGACCCTCAGGGAAGCGGAGCTCCGGTACTCCCCTGTGGAAAAAACGGTGTTGGCTATCGTGTGGACCGTCAAGAAGTTGGGCCATTACTTCCAGGCTCACCCGGTCCAGGTCCTCACTCACCAACCCCTCGGCGCTTTGATGAGGAGCCCCACCAGCTCCTCTCGAATGGTAAAATGGGCTGTCTTCCTGAGCCAATACAACATCGACATTCGTCCTAGGCTCGCCATCAAGGGCCAAGCCCTGGCGAACTTCGTGACGGAATGTACGGCAAGATCAGCCACAGACGAGGAGCCCTCGGCCCCCTCGGACGATTGGTGGACCCTCTACACCGATGGCTCCTCCGCCGTCAAAGTATGTGGAGGAGGGGTGGTTCTCATCTCACCCGAAGGCTTCCGGGCCTATTATGCAGCCCGCTTTTCCTTCAAAGTCTCTAACAATGAAGCCGAATACGAGGCCCTCCTCTATGGCCTTCGGCTGGCAGCTAACATGAAGGCCCGACAGATCCACGTCAAATGCGACTCCAAATTAGTTGTCGGCCAGATTTCCGGGGAGTACGAAGCCAAGGAAGGGAGAATGAAGCAGTACAAAGAAGCAGCCAAGGAGTTGCTTAAGGTATTTGAGGCACACTGTCTTACTCAAATACCGAGGGCTCAAAACTCCGAGGCCGACATTTTATCCAAGCTCTCGGCCGAATCACCTGAGCATATCTCAAAAATTGCCAAAGTGGAAGAGCTCAGCCTCTCTAGCATACATGCTAGCCCCATCATGAACATACAACAAAGGCAGGATGACTGGATCTCAGACATTGTCGCCTTCATCACCACAGGGCAACTGCCCGAGGATGAGGCCCGCACCAAGGTAGCAAAGCTGAGGGCTCCCAGCTACGCTATCGAGGACGGAAGGCTTTTCAAAAGGTCCTACAACGGGACATTACTTCGGTGCCTTTATCAAGATAAAGCCGAAGTGGCGATGGAGGAAGTGCACAATGGCACTTGTTCAGCTCACCAGGGACCCTTCTCCATGTCCCGAAGGCTAATAATCCAGGGCTACTTCTGGCCTACGATGGCCTGGGATTGTGCAGATCTCGCCCGAAGGTGTTCCGCATGCCAACACTTCCAGAAATCCCCCAGCAGGCCAGCGGTCAACTATGCCCCCATCGGTACATCGATACCCTTCGCCCGATGGGGCATAGACCTTGTGGGCCCTCTGCCGAGGGGTACCTCCAACAACAGGTACATCATCGTCGCCATTGAATACTTCACCAAATGGGTGGAAGCTGAGCCCCTCGCTAGCATTACTGAGGCCAGGTGCCGTCATTTTGTTCTCAAGAACATCCTCACAAGGTTTGGCGTTCCCCAGCAAATCATCTCCGACAATGGGACTCAGTTTGAAGCAGCCCCCTTCTGTGCCCTCCTGGAGGCATGGGGCATCAAACACACCTTCTCATCAGTTGCCTACCCTCAGGGCAATGGTCAAGTGGAGAACGCCAACAGGACCTTGCTCGAGGGCCTAAAGAAGAAACTGGAGGCCAAAGGGGGTGGTTGGGTAGAAGAGCTCCACAACATCTTATGGGCCTATCGAACCACCCCTCGGCAGACAACTGGCGAGACACCCTTCTCCCTTTGCTACGGATTTGAAGCTAAGGCCCCCACCAAGGTAACTCTTCCAACCCGAAGGGTCACACAATATGATCCAGAGGCCAACGACACCAATATGGCCCTTGACCTCCACCTTATTTCAGAACGCCGAGAGCAAGCCTTCATGCGCGCAGAAAACTACCAAAGGCAAGTGAAGAGTTACGTTGATGCCAAAGTCCGTTCCCGAGAATTCCAAGTGGGGGACTATGTCCTACGAAGAAGGGAAGCTAGCCAACCAACCGAGGGCGGAAAGATGGCACCAAAGTTCGAAGGCCCCTACATCGTGGCGGCCATCATCAAACCATGAACCTACAAACTAAAACGCCCCAATTGGACTGAGGTCCCTAGACATTGGAATGTACATCACTTAGTTAAATTTTATCAATAACATCAGAGCGCCCAAGCCCTCATAACTAGTGAATGTATTATTTTGCGGCCCAAGGCCTAAAAATTTTGAAGAATGAAGGCATATTGAAGACACCAAGAACATGGAACAAGACTCTTATGAGCGGCCAAGCCCTCATACCGACCCCTACAAGGAAGAATCCTCGGCACCAAGTGCCGAGGGTACACTATACTGCCATCCACAACGTGGAAAAGAACACCAAGTGTTCCTACAGAAGATCCCTCGGCACCCAGTGCTGGGGGGATACACCACTGTCAACTTTCAACAAACGGAAGAAGACGCCAAGTGTTTTCACAGAAGACCCCTCGGTACCAAGTGCCGGGGGCCGTACATCGGAATGAACACCAAGTGTTGTTTCTAAAGTCGTACCCCTTGAGGACGCCTATACCGAAGGTGCCACCTATCGGTGCCGGTAGCACGTAGTGCCCCCGGCCATTTGAAACCAGTGTGCAAATGAAAACCCTTCCCTGAAACGCTTTCCGCGTCACTACCCCAAGGGTGCGACAGGCAAGTAAAATGCCCAGGATTCGACTTTCAAAAACGGAACGCTTTGCGCGCCATTTCCCCAAGGGATTGGCAGGCATCTAATATGCCCAGGATTCGACTTCCAAATCGAAACGCTCCCCGCGCCACTACCCCAAGGGTGTGGCAGGCCACGGACTATGTCTGGCGCCGAGGGGACGACTTTCAAAACTGAGGCGCTTTCCGTGCCATCTCCCAAGGGGAGGCAGGCTACAAACCATGTCTTGTGCCCAGGAAACGACCCTTGATCCCCTCGGAACTCGGAAGGTCAACCCGAGGGGGGAGCTAATGGTGTATTCTGTTACCTCCCAATAGGTCAAGCCTTACCAAGAAACCAAGTTTCTTGAAGCCTTCCCTTCACTACAAAAAAAAATGGGGTGGTGAAGGGGAGTAGACTCAGCGAGAAATCAATGAGTACACCATTCCAACAAATTCACGAGGACATACCGAGGGCTCCCCATGGGAACGCCTTCGGTACCTGGAAGCTCATAAGTACCAAAGATACCATTCACAACAGACATCATCAACAAATGGCTAAGTCCACTCCATGATTGCCTCCGGCTATATCAAAACCGAAGGCTCAAATCCTACAAAACATGACAAGCTCACCCAACAACAACTCAAAACGTTCCCAAAGGCTACTATATGACAAAGCTATCAGATGTTGGCCAAATCAAAGCAAGAATCACCTCCGGCACCTCACTAGATGCCGAGGGGATACACCCAGACAATGCCCGAGGGAGTCTGTCTTTTTATGATAGACTTGGATTACAAACTCTCCTAAATCAACATTGGGGGGGACATAACGAACAGCCGAAGGCTTTTGTTACCGCAGGCCAACCTTGCAAGACAAAGTAAACGGTTCTAGGCCCACAAAGTATACGGCCAAAGGGTCCCCTCCCGATGGCCAGCAGCAGGAAATACTTAGAGAAAATAATCTAAGTCCTAAATACTTTCCCCCCTGTGGAGTCACGGTCAACCGAAGGCACATCTGAGACAAGGTCCTCACATTCACCCGAAGGCTCCTACCTCACACAACTACACTTAGAAATATTTTCTAAGTCCTAAATATTTTTGACCCTCGGTCAAATATTCATGCAATCAGAGGGGTATCATATTCATTCGAAGGCTCCTATCCCGTACACCTGGAGGGACCTACTAGCCGAAGGCTCAACATCTGGGTTACACTTAGAAAACTTTCTAAGTCCCACATATTTGCCCCCCAGTCAAATCTTCACACTCCCAGAGGGGAGCTATCAGCCGAAGGCTTCCGGTGGGAGAACCACACAGAAACTTTTTCTAAAGTCCTAAAGATGGAGCCCTCAACCTAATCATCATGCAGCTAAGGGACCACAACATCCGAAGGCCACGTAATGTACCGTACTTAGAAAGATATTTTTTCTAGGTCCTGTGAATTGCCCCCTCGACCAAACACTATACCACCATACATTCATACACAAAGCAAGGTAGGAAAAGACGAAGGCATACATTCAACAGGAAACAAATTCATATACGAGAAGGGGCCCGAGGGAAAACGTACATTCATACATTCATCAAAAACAAAAAATACCAAATGTAATTGTTACAAAGGCCGAAGCCGAAAGCATGTGAATGTTCGGGTACAAATTGTACGAAAATTATCTAATTACAAGTCTCCTCAGGAACCTCAGCAGCATTGCCCCCGGAAGCATCCTCTCTAGCAGGCTTCGAAGAGACCTCTACTCCGGCCTCCACGATGTCACCCTCTACTTCCTTCATCAACTCAGTATCCTTCAGGTTGGGCCGCTTAACGCCTGAGGGGAGGGGTTCACGAACATCTGGTTGTAAGGAAGGAAGACCATATGCCGAGGGATCGAAATCTTTCGGCTCAATATTCAGGTGCCGGGCCATCCTTCGGTATATGAGGGCCTGAGTAAAAAACTCGCCCCCATCATAATATTCCTTGCCCTTTCGGGCCATCCATTCCTCACCTGGGCCCTCGCACCATTCATCAACAGAGGCCTCCACAACTGAGGACAGACACTTCTTGTGTCCCTCGGCCTTCCACCCCTCGTCCAGAAATCCGGAGATGGCTTCCTCCCGAGCTGCGACAATAGCCTCCGCTCTGACGGCCTCGGCCTCCTCGACGGCTTTCTTTGCGGCCTCCGCGGCAGCCTCCTCAGCTTTGGCTTTCTCCTCCCTGAGCCTTCCGGCCTCTGCTCTCGCAAGCTGGAGGTCCTCTTCGAGCTGGGCCATCAGCTTCGTGGCCTTGGAGTCCTTATGAATGAGCTCCTTCATCTTTGCGTCTTGCCCAGCTTTGTGGAGACGCCATTCCTCCAACCGTCGGGCCTGTTCGCCGAGGGCAAGGCAAGCCTGCAAATCAACAACGCAAACTGTCAGGACAACCACGCAAGATAATCTGAGGAAGGAGGGAAGAAAGCATGAAGGAACTCACTGTTAAGGAAGATCGGAGGATCTGGTCCTCAAGCGCCACATCATCTAAAGCTCCGAAGGTGGCCCCATCTTTTTCAGTGGTCATGCCCCTCAGGAGCACCCTCGGGTCGACCGTGCAGTTGGTCACGGCTGTTCCCCTCGGGAGGGAAACCTGCAGGACCTCCGGGGGCATCTCCTCCGTCCCCGTCGTCTTTCCAGTCGTCGGCACATCCACGACAAGCCCGGAGGTGGAATGCTCATCCACGATCACTACCGGGGGATCCTTCTTCGTGGCGTCCCCCTTCTTCGATCTCTTGGTAGTCGGGGGGATTCCTTGGCCGTCGTTTTCCTCTTCACGGGCGCAACATCACCCTCGGGCTTCTTGAAAAATGCACCAATGGGCTTCTGGCCGCCCGCATCCGACCCCTTCGGATCCTTGGCCGACTTGTTCTTAAATCGAGCAAGGTCTTTCACGTTCATCTTCGAAACGGGGATACCTGCAAAATAGTGAAGGGTTAGGCCGATGGGTCAACAACCATGGAGCAATAACATCAAGGTAAAAAAATACTAAGTACAAGACTAAGGGCCCTCGGTGACTACCTCCTGCTCCCCCGAAGGCTCCATCAAAAAGGGGATACTTCTCGTCCGTTTCCCCGATGAAACGATAGCGCCGGAAGCCGATGGTATATAGATCCTCCTCGAGGGTGTAGTTTTTGATGGATACGTTCTTCGTACGACCCTCCGGGATCTTGGCTATGATCAAACCTTTTTTCTCGAGAGCAGCGTCTCCGACCTTCAGGTGCCGTCGGAATCGGTCCCGTAGTCCCCTCGGGAAAGGGCTCTCATCTATCCTGACGTAACACCACCGCTCCTTCAAGCCCTTGTTTGACGAGGGCGATTCGATGAACAGCTTCCACCTGGCTATCTGCTGTAGGTTCGCGAAGCCCTCGGCATTCGTGTGGCCCCCCCAGCACAAGTTGAAGCTTTGGAAAAATAGATCCAAGCTTGGCGTCACCCCCCCCCCCCCCGGGATTTACAGAGATGAAGGAACCCGGCAATGTAAGAGTGGTTGTTAGGTGTCAGCTGACAGGGGACCAAGCCAACAAACCTGAGGTACTCCCGGAGGAAGGGGTGCAGAGGGAACCTGAGGCCCATGGAGACCGAAAGTATGTGTACTGCAATGCACCCCTCGGGCGCCCGGGACAGCACATCATAAACTCCCGGCTCGACCACCACAGCCGAAGGCCCTACGTGCAGCTGCGTGACGTAGAAATCCGCCTTGTCCGCCTTCAACTTTATCTCGAGGGCCTTGGTGTTCAGCCAAGAATACCCCTCGGGCATATCAACAGGCTTCCCTTGGTCGGCGGCCCTGACCTTCTTCTTAGTAGCAGCTTTCGCCTTCTTCTCCTTTGATCCAGGGGCTACTCTCAAGGGCGTCGGGTTCAGTGGCCTCGAGCTGCTTGCTTCATCAGAACCGCGGGGGGGAAGTACAGCCACTGTCACCCTCATCCTCTCCTTCTCTTCCTCCTCCTCTGCAACTTGTACGACGAGGGCGAGCTCTTCATCCTCCGCCTCTTGCTCAAAGCCCTCGGCTTCAACTTCAGCCACTAACTCTTTCTGCATCTCAATGGCGAGGGAGACGTCACCACCAGCCGAAGGCTGCTCACTCAGGGACTCCACGTCGGAGAAGACTTCCTCTTCAACCGAGGGCTCCCCCGATATGTCTTGGGAATCACTAGCGGACGACATTTTTTATAGGCTGATGAATACGGAAGTTCTAAAGTCCGAAGGCACCCTAAGAAACTCTAGACACTCAAGTCTAAGGCCACAGGAGCAAAACTCACCAAGTAAACGGAGAACAGAAGAGGGACTGACCTTGAAAGCTGGGGATTCAACCGAAGGCTGGAGTTTCTCTCTCTTGAAATTTTGGCAGAGCTTCGCTAACCATATGATCGCACAAGCGAAATGATGCCCGGCCATGTTGTATTTATAGGTGCCCAGATCCGGGCTTGGGCCCAAAAACCGGGCCTCCGGTCACAAAATCATCATTACGAGCCGTGGTTTCGCCCAACCGGTAACGCCACCCGCGGGCGGCCAACGAGCACGCACCACGTGGAAGCCCCCCCCCCCCCCCCCCAAAGGCTATATTTTGACGTTAGATATTCCAACGGCTATATTTACAACGGCCATATTCTGGGAGCTCCCGGCTATATTCAGCAGACCACTCCTTCATCAGCCAAGAAACTAGCCCCGGGCTTTCTACTTCACTCCACTTCATCAAGAGGAGCCCCCGGGTGCACTTACCCAAAGATGCTCCCGGTTTATGCCCCTCATACTACATAACAAATGCCTTTGGGCTCACTCCTTCAGAAGCCCACGGCTTCATAACGGGCACACCCCTCGGGAACCATCGGCCCTCAAACACATTGAAGACCACAAAGCCCCCGGGGGAGCGCGCCTTCATCAAAAGGCGCCCTCCACTCACCAACAAACAAGGGCCCCCTCGGCAACACCACATTCATCACCCCCACCTTCTCATAATTTGGGGGCTCCCCCTTCGGCATCTCTCAGAAAAACAACAGGACCCTCCGGGAAATCAACACACGCGCCTTCAGATGGAGATGGCCTTCGGCAAAAAAATATTGCACTCATTCCAAGCCAGGATTTCACCTTTTCGACTCATCATTGGGGGAGTTCGGTGCACTCTTTTTCCCTCATTGGAATTTTTTCCCACAGGGTTTTTTTTAATGAGGTTTTTAACGAGGCATCCCCCCAAAATGAAACGAAAAGCGTCACCCCTCGGCTTCGTATTACAAGCAGGCACTACTCTACTCCTTTTCACCACTTTGCAAGTGCCTCAAGGAGTGGAGGACTGGAGGACCCCTCCAGGAAAATCCCTCAAAATACAAAAAATACTAAAAACTCCCGCAAACAGCAAACATGACCCCTCAAGTCCCGACATGTGGGTAACTGAGGGACTGCCCTCGGCAGAATAAACAAACAACAAACTACTCACAACTCTACAAACTACAACGGAACAACGGCAGAGGACAAACACAGTTACTCTTTTTCCCTCAAGTACCTTTCGGCAAAAGGAGTGAGGGACTCCTGATGGAGTATATGGCCCAGGAACCCCCGGTCCACAGACTCTTACTACTCCAATAAAGGCCCGATAGGCCCAGGAAGCACAACAGGCCCAAATCACATCGCCCAGAGTACCAAGCGGCCCACAGTGCACACTGGGGTGCCTTCGGCCCCTTCGCCGAGGGCTCCAAATTCTCACAGAATGTTTATTTCAACCAAGCAGGAATACTGGGAGAAAACGGCAAAAATCAGTAGCTCTCGGCACCTAGAGCCCTCGACACTAAGGAGGTCCCCGGTACTCAGAGCCCTCGGCTAATCATCTACAGCCGAGGGCACCTTTTCCGACATAATATCCGCTCCACATGCGCATGGATCACCGTACCAAGTACGACGTCACATCCAACAGTCGCATTAAATGCGGCCACATGTGATTGCCAGCGCCAACCAGTTGAGGTGACCCTTCGGCCAATGGATGCTTGACACGTGTCCCTGTCTCGCATTTATTGCTACTATAAATAGCACCTCATTTCCCCGTTGTAAACCACGCTCAAAAGCCTTAACTTACCTATTCAATACACTTTCTCTCTTACTTGCTCTGACTTCTCTCTAGTTACTCCCCGCAGTAACCCCTCGGATAGATACCCGGGTACACTTATCCATCAGAGTGAAAATCACATAGATCACTATGTACAAGATCCAAAATAGCCAGATTCCTTTCAATATTAGGAAGTGGTTGTTTTGTGATCTAAGTACGCATGAAAGTTCTACACTTATCATTATTGATATCAAAAGCAGGAATTAAACCATCTTTAGACATTTCATGAATTTTTCTAAAATTAACATTAGCTAATCTATCATGCAAAATCATACAATCATTAATGGAAGATGCCACAAAAATAGAATTGCCAACAGAATTATTATTCACAACATTCAAATGAAACATGCAATTTGATAAATATCCAAACCCAACAAACACATACACCACGCTTGGAAAAATATATTTATCGGATTCAATCACTTGCTTGAGCCCTAAATAATTCAACATACTTTCCGAAACAAGATTCTTTCGAACTTTCATTACATACAATATACCAAATAACGTAATTGTTTTTTAAGAAGTAAATTCTAAAACAACAACACCATTTCCCAAGATTGGCGCCATTGACTCGTCTCCCATACGTAAGAAGGAACCGACCTCTACTAGTTCCAAGTCTTCAAACCATCATTTATCCTTACACACATGGCTCAAGCCCCCAAATCAAACCACCATGCACAATCATCATCTTGTACATAAAAAGATTCTGGAATGAGTGATACATAATTCTGGACAGAATTATCTAAGTTAGTCAAGAACCGACCTTCTTTCAGTGGACCTAGGTCTATAAACCGTTCTAGCACCGTCTTGTTTAATTTCACATGGCAATCACGCTTGACATGTCCAAGCTTTTGATATCTCCAACAAACCAAACCTTTCGATTTCTTGTTGGGTTTGTCCTGGTCTTCATACTTACGCTCTTATCTTTCCCCTTATTATTTGGGTTAGATTTTTTATCCTCAACCAAGTGAACATGGGGCAATCCAGATTCAACTTCACCCTTTATATTGTCATTCTCTTGTGCACGAAGAGATTCTTCGATGTGCAAGTGACTCCCAGGTTGAACCAATTACAATTCCTCATTTTGATGTTTCAAAGAACATTTAAAATCCTTCCAAAAGGGCGGAAGTTTGTCAATTATACTCGACACGGCATAGGATTCATCAATCGCTATTTTGTGGAGCTTAAAATGACCAAGAACACAAAGGAGATCATTGTATTGTTCCATAACCGACCTTGAGGTAACCATTTTATAATTATTAAAATCACTTAGCAAGAACTTCTCGCTAGAAGCATATTCAGCAATGTATTTTGACTTGAAGACTCCAAGTGGCAGTTTTGAATGGCAAAAAAATGGATTGAGTCCGATTACGGGGAGACGTGTGTGGTTACAGATGGACCAGCCGTGGAACTAAATAAAATAAAGAAGAGGTTGAAGGAGATGGAAGAAGAGCAGGCGGCTCTCCGCGAATTGCAGGCCAAAGTCGAGACCGAACTTATTCACAAAAAGAAAGTCGAGAAGGAAATGGGTGTCGTGCAAGACCCTGATACTGATGTTGCAGACCAGGCGGATAAGGAAGAAGTGGACGCTCGTTATATATTTGTTGGCAATGTGGATTATGAATGCACTCCTGAGGAAATACAGCAGCATTTTGTATCATGTGGTACAGTTAATAGGATTGTTGTTAGGACCGATAAGTTTGGGAAGCCAAGGGGATATGCATTTGTTGAATTCGTTGAGGAAGAATCTGTTCACGAGGCTCTTCTTCTAAATGGATCTGAGCTTCACGGACGCCAGCTTAAGGTAAAAGGCAAACGAACTAATATTCCAGGCATGAACCAGCGGCGTGCAGATCCTTGTTTGTGCTCTCAGGGCCATGCACCATGTGAAGCAGTTATGGGCATGAAGCAGCAGCGTGCAGATCCTTGTTTGTGCTTTCAAGGCCATGCACCATGTGTAGCAATTTCGGGCATGAAGAAGTGGCGTGCAAATCCTTGTTTGTGCTTTCAGGACCACACACCATGTGTAGCAGCTCCATTTTACTTTCATCCAGGTCCAAAACACTCATGCGATACAACCCCTACTTATGAATCTTTTGATTTTGGGAGGATGACAAAAGGAGCATGCCATTGAAAGATGTCTAGTGCTTGTTCATTTCCAGTTTATATATTGAGCTTTGGACAGTCTTGGGTTATTAGGTGGGCAGTGTAACTTTCATGGTATTTATTAAACACTTCGCTTGAGTTGCATCTTCACATGTTACAATGTCAGTCTTCCTTTGGTATATTCACATGCTACAATGTTCTAAGCGGTGGACTGGTAGGCAGGGCAACTAAGGAGGCGTTTACTTCGCTGCTAAAGTCACAGTTAGGTTAGTAAGACAGATGAAGTAAACACGCAAACTGCTTAAAAAGCTGCTTAGTAATCGAAAGAGATGCTTAAAGTGCCGCTTACTAAGCATACCACCCCCCATGTATTAATTAAGCGACACTTTAAACTTTTTCGGTTTCTGAATTTACCTTTACCCTTACCCCTTGCCCTTACCCTATTGTTACCCTCTACCCACCCCGTCCACCCCTAACCTACCTTACCCCGACCCCATCCCTACCCTCCCGACCATAACCCCTTACCCCACCCCCACATGTACCCTACCTCGACCCAATCCCGACCCCACCCACTTACCTCTACCATACCCAGACCCTATCCCTTTACCCCTACCACCTACCCCTGCCTCGACCCCATCCTAACCCCTTACCGCACCCACTTACCCGACCCCTACCCCTTCCTACCCAACCCTACCCACGACCACACCCCTTACTCCCACCCGTCCTACCCCTACCTCGACCCGACCACTACCCCACGCACTTACCCCTACCCTACTTACCCACCCCCACCCACCCCCTACCATACCCCGACCGTACCCCCTTACCCCTACCTCCACACCGACCCCACCCACGGTCGTTCAATTTAACCAAAAAAAGCAATGTATTTTGACTTAAGAGAATTTAACAATTCCTTAGCACTCTCAACGTTTTGGTAAATATCAAATAACGCATCAGACATACTGTTAAGAATGTGGCCCCTACATATGTAGTCTTCGTTCTCCCACTTGTTACGCTTGCTAATTTGTTCCAAAGTTTCATCTTCCATCACTTCCAGCATCGAAGTGCTCAACATGTACACAACCTTCAAAGTCGTGAGAAGGAAGTGCATCTTCTTCCGCCATCTATGATAATCATTCCCTTGAAACTTCTCCAATTTATTGAACTTGGATGTCATCCCTAGAAGAAGTAGATTATAGAAGAAGTAGATTTTAATAAAAATAAAATTTATGTGTCTCTGACTAGTCCCCACCTAGGCACCCGCTAGCCGCGTGGGCGCTAGGCTAGCGCCTTTTAGAATATTTAATAGAGTTGTCACATTTAATATTATATTATACCTACTCACTTACTTCATTATGTAATAAATATGATTAAATAGACGCCCTAGGCGTCGATTAGGCGCTCTGGACGGGCAACTAGACGCCCTAGGCGTCGATTAGGCACTCTGGACAAGCAACTAGACGCCCTAGGCGTCGATTATTCGACGCCTAACTTCGATTAATCGTCCTATGCGTCGATTAAGCGCTCTGGACGGGCTACTAGACGTCCTAGATGTCGATTAGGCACTCTGGACGGGCAACTAGACGTCCTAGATGTCCGACTAATCTACGTAGGCGTGAAACCAATTAGTCGGAGCGCCTAGACAAAGATCGGGGCACCTAACCACCGTCTAGCGCCTAGGCAGGGACTATTCGGGTGCCTAGAGCGATATTTTGAACAGGGGGCGTGTGTATCTATTTTTTTAGATACACAAAACACAACATTACCAATCATATTTATGAAAACCATTGATAAAATTATAATTTTTATGTCTCCAACTAGTCTCCGTCTAGGCCCCCGCGTAGCTGCCTAGCCGCTAAACATTGGACTGGCGTGTAACTAGCGTCTAGCGCTTTTTAGAACATTGGTTATTACTATACTAGTTAAAATATTTTTTGTTAAAATTATAAGTAATAAGTAACCATAATTTATTGATGATTAAATTATTTTAGAATAATCGATTGTAGGATTTACGACCTAATTTATAACTACTTAGCTATTAACTATCTTATTTTTGTACTTAGTTTTAACAATGAGAGATATTTGTTATTGTAATATTATTTTGGGAACTCTTTTATTAATTTATTTAAAGATACTAAACTTTAATATCTAAAAATCAAAAAATATAAAATGGATCCGGAAATCGAACCGAATTAAAACCGGAACCATCGGTTTTAGAACCGATACCATGCGGTTACGGTTCCCTAAAATTTGGAACCTCGAACCGCCGGTTCAATTCCGATTCAGGTTCAGAATCAGGGCCATGTCCAGTGTATGAAAAGCTTTTATAACTTTATCTTTTAGTGACCGAAGATCTTAAAAGGAAAAGGTTATAGCAGTTTTATAAAATGTTGACTGTTTGATTTAGTTCTATTTGGTATAACAAGCTGTTGTAACTAATTAATGCTAAAAGCTACTGACTTTCTCCATATGCTACCCACTATAGTTTCGAAAAAAATCTTTTATTTTGTAATAAACTCCTATAAATTATTTTTAAAAACATACAACTACAGAATTTTATAAACTTTTTAAATATACAAAAGCTAAAAGATAGGGGCATGTATCTACCAAACATGCACCTAGTCCTACCTAGGAAAAGATTGGAGATTCCCAAAATTACTATCACAAAAAAACACTCGATCACCCAGCCCTTGTGTTGAAGTTGAGTGTAAATAAAGGGGCGAACATGATAATGCACAAAGGAAATGCTTGGGAGTAATGTTTTTGAGGGAAAGAGAAGGTTGGAGGGTTGATGATACTTGCATTTTTTATTGGGAATCTAAAAAAATTAGAAGGGAAGGTTTTGGAGAGCTTTTGTAACACTCCAAAACCTTTAAATGTTCAATTTTTAAATTTCTCTAAGGGTGTGTTTGGGAGTTTGAGGGTGAGGGAAGGGGAAGGATTTAAAGGGGAGTAGAGAGAAGGGAGGAAGATGGGAAGGAATTCCCTCCTCTTGTTTGGAAGTTGCAAATTTCAAAACTCAAAAGAGGAGGGTTTGGAACTTGAGGGGTTTCAGCGGCTAAGAAATGAAACGAGTATCAACTTATAAAGATTTTATCTAAAAGCGATATTAATTTCAGATGATAAATCTCTCATTTACGTAGCTAGACCTTAGAAAACCCTCAAATCGGGGAATTAGAAAACCCAGATTTTGGAGGGTTTAGAAGGATTTTATAACACCCCAAAACCTTTCCCTCGTATTACTTAAACTCCCAAACACACATAGGAAGGCTTATTTCCCTCGCAATCTCACATGTCTTCCCCTCCCCTCCAAAAACAAACTCCCAAACCCACCCACCCTAATTTGAAGGTTTTTGAAGAATAACTAACTAAATGATAATTTAAGTTTAATTTGAAATGAATACAAGTTCAACTGTTTGAATTCGGTATACATCTTCAGCGATTTTAATTATAATTGCCGTAGCCCATCTCTTTTCAAATTTATAATTCTCAAACAAAATCAAGAGATGCTTCTACTTCCCCTCCCCTTCTCCCTGCTCAAGGCTAACCTTCAATATCTTCCCTCCCCAAATTTATTCTAGTACCATGAAGAATCGTCAATGTGAATGCATGCCCAAGTTTGACACACAAAATTTATTTTATTTGTCACTTGCTGGCTGCTACTTCAAAGGTTTCAGTCCAAGGGATGCCCTCAGTCTATTTGCTTCGGCAATCTCAGGGTCAGGATGGTCGGTTCCATCCTCTTTCTTCTCTTTCTTTTTCTTGGGTTCATCCCTAGCGGAGGGGCTCACACTGCTGCGGCCATGCCTCTTTCGCCGTTCATCGTCACGATCTTTCCGGTCCCGGCTTCGGCTCCTTCTATGGCCACGATCACGTCTACTACCTCTTTCTCTGTCATAGTCTTTGTCATCTCGCAACCGATGATGCTCCCTGTCCCTGTCACGTCCTCTTCCCCTGTCCCTATCAAATTCACGCTCCCTGTCATATTCTCTACCATAATCACGGTCCCTGGCCAAAAGGAGGAACAGTTAAAGTGAGGCAGTTTTTGGGGATCACAGTCCTAAATCATCATCATCATCCTTATTTCACATAGAGACTGTTTTTGGATGACCCATGGTGAAAATCGCGTCGAAAATTGCATGGACTGATTGCTGCTTCATAACAAAGAAGCGCAGACAGTTTAGTAAATCATTTTGCTTTATTTCATCATATTCCCAAGTCAAAAAATAGTGAGCCTTTGGATCCATTGCAAATTCAGTCATAAATAAATGGATCAATTACAACTGACTTCCTAAAGGTTTGTACAAATTACCATATGACCTTCATAGTTTATTAAATTGCAATTTCAAGATCCTTTATTCGTTAGGTTTCTGCAATTGACCTTTTTAAACATTGAATTCTTTCTTTTAGAATACACTCATATTGACCAGAACTGCGCCTTTTCAGATTTAATTTGGTAGGTCTAAAATGTGAACATCGCGCTTATAAATATATGGGTAAACTATTATCTTGTCTGGAACCCCAATTCCTATTAATATCATTAGATGCTATTATCTTGTCATTTGCATAACAACAAGGCCAGCTAAGGAGCTAATTTGTAATTAACACTAACTAAAATGAGGCAACAAAAGCTAAACAGAAAGCAATTAAAACAATTGCACAATGTACCACTGCAACATTTTTAACTAAAAGAAATGTGTGATCTATCATACTTCTCACTGCCCACTGCCAGGGCAGAGAAATCTGGCAAGATCAAAACATCTTATTCTGGGAAGCTGTTCTAATCCACCACTAGCTTCAATCGCTGTGAAGGTTTCAGTATGTGAATAAATGTGTGCAAAACATGGTATAGTTCCAGAGACAGGTTCCACTAGAGAGAAAAGATCAAGTGAAAACTGAAAAATACTCCCTAATCCACCCATGGTTAAAAAAGGCAGTTAAGAGGAAGGTTTTGAGACGTGCCTCGATGTGACGCACAGAGATCAGCTCTTGAGGCTTAGGTTTTTATTTTTTGGGAGGATATGAGGCTTATGCCTCAAAACTCAAGGCTATGTCTTGAGGCGCGTGCCTCAAGCTGTTTTTAGACGTATTTTTCTTTATTTTTTTCTTTAACTGTCTGTAATTTACAAAGGGCCCAGTATATTTTATTTTATAAAAGGCCCAGTAAATTTTAATAAATAAAAGGCCCACTAAGCATGTGTCAATATACACATTTTAAACCGTAAGAAGGTTGACAAGTGAAATTGTTAAAATAAGATTGGTATCCAAGAAAAGTAAGAAAAATAAACAAGTATTGGTGGTAGAGGATGAAGAAGAAGAATTTGTAATTAACAAGAACTAAAAGGCAACAAAAGTTAAACAGAAAGCAATTAAAACAATTGCAATGTACCATTGCAACATTTTTATCTAAACGAAATGTGTGATCTATCATACTTCTCACTGCCCACTGCCAGGGCAGAGAAACCTGGCAAGATCAAAACATCTTATTCTCGGAAGCTGTTCTAATCCACCACTAGCTTCAATCGCTGTGATGGTTTCAGTACGTGAATACATGTGTGCAAAACATGGTGTAGTTCCAGAGACAGCTTCCACTAGAGAGATAAAAGACCAAGTGCAAAATACTCTCTAAACCACACCCATGGTCTAAAAAGGCAGTTAAGAGGCGGGTTTTGAGACGCGTCACAATGTGACGCACAAAGATCAGGTCTTGAGGCTTAGGTTTTTACTTTTTGGGAGGATAAGAGGCTTATATGCCTCAAAAGTCAGGTCTACGCCTTGAGGCACGTCCCTCAAGCTATTTGTAGGTGTGTTTTTCTTTATTTATTTATTTTTACGGCAGGTGTACCTTAAAAAAGGCCCAATAAATTTTATTTTATAAAAGTCCCAGTAAATTTTAATTATTATAAGGCCCAACAAGCATGTGTCAATATACACTTTCTAAACCCTCAGAAGGTTGACAAGTGAAATTGTTAAAATAAGACAGGTATCCAAGGAAAGTAAGAAAAACAAACAAGTAATGGAGGTAGATGATGAAGAAGAAGAATTTGTAATTAACACTAACTAAAATGAGGCAACAAAAGCTAAACAGAAAGCAATTAATGCAATTTAACAATGTACTACTGCAACATTTTTAACTAAAAGAAATGTGAGATCTATCATACTTCTCACCTGCCCACTGCCAGGGCAGAGAAACCTGGCAAGATCAAAACATCTTATTCTCGGAAGCTGTTCTAATCCACCACTAGCTTCAGTTGCTGTGATGGTTTCAGTACGTGAATAAACGTGTGCAAAACATGGTGTAGTGCCAGAGACAGCTTCCACTAGAGATATAAAAGACCAAGCGCAAAATACTCTCTAATCCACACTGGTTTAAAAAGGCGATTTAGAGGTGGGTTTTGCAAACTTATTAAAAGCGCTCAAAAGCGCCATTAAACGACAAAGCGCAGGCAAGCGCATACCCTGCGCCTGGCTTTTGAGAAGCGGCTCTGCATGAGAAAGCGTCGTTTTACCATCGCTTTTCCGGAGCTCGCTTGGGAGAAAAGCGAACGCTTTTCATCGCTTTTCACAAAAAACGCATTTGACCAGTCAACTTTTTTTAGTTTTAGCTTTATCTGCCCGTCGCTACAAGTTAGGGTTATCTAGGAGTCTTTCGCCACTTTTGACACTCCACACAGCTGCAGGTGAAGACTGAAGAAGTGGGATGTGAAGAAGCCGCGGGTGAAGAAAGAGGCAGAGAGTTTGCCACTTCGCCCAGACTTCCCTTCGGACAGAAATCGCCCACTCACTGGTGAGCCGCAGGTTGTCTTTCGACTCTTTCATCAATAGTTTCTTTCCTTGTTTGATATCTTTCCTTGTATACGAAGTACTCTGTTTTTTTTTTTAGTTTGATATCTTTCAGTCTTTCCTTGTTACAAAGAACATCCTCTGCCTTCTATCTGTTTCAGACTTAATTTTTTTTTTAGTTTTTGAATTTTTTGGTAGTAACTAGTAATTGTACTTATTATTTTATCAACAATTAATGTAGTAAATTACATACAGAAAGATCAATCTGTCTTCACATTAGTAGTTAGTTACTCAAATGTATTCGGAGCTAAATGAAATTTCAGTTTATTACTTTCTGTCTTCACTTTATTATTAAATTCAAGTAATCAGAAATAAAAGATCATATCAAAAAGTTTCTGGGACAGTCTTATAACTTCTCACATTATGCAGATACTTTGATTACTTGTTTTACATAGACTTTGAAGTATGTATGGCTGAACTGTCAACTGTGCACATAATGCTTTGGGACATTTACAGGCCACCTTTTTCTATTTGATTGCATATACTTTTGCAAAATCCTTTCCATTTAAAGTAGTAGTGATTTATTTAGATTCAAAGCAGTATTTTCATAGAAATCAATAGCATATCTGCCTGCCTGACAAAAGTTTATTCCTTTCACTTTATTGATTAATTAATTTTTTGTTCATTCCAATTTATGCCCCTTTTAGTTTATTGATTAATTAATTTTTAATTCATTCCAGCTTATTCCTTTTAGTTTATTGATTAAATAATTTTTACTTAATAACTTCATTTCAGTATACCCCAAATTCTTTTGGGATTAAGGCTTGGATGTTGTTGTAATAACTTCATTTCAGTTTATTTCTTTCCTTTCATCTCATAACTAATTTTTAGTTTATTCCACTAAGTAATAAGGTCTCCATTGCTCTTTGTAGACAAAAATGTCTGGAGAACAATCTAAAAGTCAGGATCCAGCATGGGAGCATGGGTTAAGGGTCACGCCAAACGATTACACACGTGTGCGATGCATATATTGTGATAAAATCACAAGTGAGGGTATATATCGTCACAAACAACATCTTGCCGGTGGCTTTAAATGTGTTAAGGCGTGTCCTAAGTGTCCACAAGAAGTTAGAGCGCCTACTTATCATGAAGTTCGAGTGACATCTTGAAAAGGAAGTAGAGCATGTGAAGGAGCTTTTTAAACCACATGAGGATATTTGCAAGCAATATGGTTGTTCATTGATGATGGATAAGTGGACTGATAGAAGGAATCGCGCTTATATCAATGTGTTAGTTAATTGTTCACTTGGGTCTTACTTTATCCAATCAGTTGAAGTAAGTTTGGACATTGTGAATGGAGAGGATGCTTGAGCTCTTTGAACTCTTTGTGAATAGAGTTGGAGGGGAAAATGTTGTTCAAATTATATCAGACAACGCTTCTCAAAATGTCAAAGTTAGTAAGTTTATTTTATATTTAAAATCATAATCTCTAATATATAATTTAGTTAAATTTAATTATTCTTTTCATTTTCTTATCGTTTAGGCAAGGATTTAATGGAGAAGTACCCGACAATTTATTGAACGCCGTGTGCTGCTCATTGCATCAATTTGATGTTTAAAGACATATTTGAGCTTAAGCACTTTCAGACAACATATAAAAGAGCTCTGAAATTGTCGTTCTACATCCATTCAAAAACCAAATTGCTGAACTTGTTTATGAAATTCACCGGGAAGAGAGAGTTCGTGAAGTTTGCTAAGACAAGGTTTGCCACAGCTTTCTTGACATTCAAGAGGTTAAAGGAGCACAAGAATAAGTTGATCAAGCTTTTCAATTGTGGAGTTCCTAACGAGCAACTATTCCAAAGAAGAGGCTGCAAAGGAGTGTGGTAGAATTGTCCAGATGCCGTCCTTTTGGAACACACTTCATGAGGCACTGAGAGTTGGAGGACCACTTATGTCAACCCTTCGAATGGTTGATGGAGATGTGAAGCCGGTTATGGGATATGTATATCCTGCAATGGAATTGACAAAAGCAGCAATAGCCAAAGCCTTCAACAACAACCAATCCAAGTACAAGAAAGTGTTTGACATAATAAACACAAGATGGACTTCTCAACTTCGGCAGCCGTTGCACGCAGCTGCTTTCTTCTTGAATTCGGATTCTTTCGATTTCCAGGTGAGTCACCAGTATCTTCAACCATAAATTCAGCTGAAGTGGTGAGTGGGTTTTATGAATGTTTGGAGAGGTTGGTTCCAAATGAAGAACATCAAGCAAAAATTGTTAGTGAGGTGTCCATTTGGGAATTAGGACACGGACTATTTAGCAGTTCATTTGCGAAGAAACAACGAGGCGTTAAACCTCCAAGTTAATATCTATTCATCAATTTATATTATTTAAAAAAAATTACAATTTAGAGTGGGTTTAACATTTTAAATTCATTTTATAGTTGATTGGTGGACATCTTTCGGTGCCAGTGCTCCCCATTTAAAGGAATTTGCAATTAAGCTTCTCAACTTAACATCAAGTGCATCGGGATGTGAGAGGAACTGGAGTGTATTTGAACATGTAAATAGTTATTCTAATGCAAGAGTGTAGGTCAATTTCAATTTTTCCATTCATTTGACTAACTGGAAAATTTTTATTACTTAACAGTTGCATTCGAAGAGGAGAAGTCGTCTCGAATACAACCGCCTCAATGATTTGATATTTGTCAAGTACAATAGGGCTTTGAGACGTCGTTGGGAAATGCGTGATTCTATAGATCCTATTTGCTTGGATTACATAGATATGGCAAATGAATGGTTGACCGGTGTAGTTGATGATGCGAATGAAGAGTTGGTCTTTGATGACGGAGATGATTTGACCTGGGGAGATGTTGCGAAGTTTTCTGGTGTACATGATACGCCATATTCTCTTAGACGCAATTCTAAAGGGAAAGATAAAGCAGAAAGTTCCAAGTCCAAAGGAAAAGAAAAAGCCTCCACCTGTAGACTTGTTGATGAAGATGAGGACGAAGATGAGGAGGATGCTGGAGTCTATGATGATGATAGTGAGGACTTTGATACTTTAGTTATGGGTGAAGAAGAACAAGGCCGGTTTGATGACGAAGGAGGATGAGACGATGGAATGATGAAGATTCTAAGAACCGTTTTTAAAACTGAAACTATGAAATTATGTGATGAATGTTTTTATCTATATGCCGCACTAGTATTACCCTTATGACTTTTATGATTAATTATGTGTTTTTGCGTAATTGTGTGATGAAGGTTTTGAAACTTTATGCCGCACTAGTATTATTTTGAATGACTTTTATGACTACTAATGCATTTTTGGCATATTTATACATTATATTTTATATTTTCTTTTATTTTTTTAAGCGTCGCTTTTTGTGAGAAAGCTACGCTTCGCTTAGCGCTTTCGCTTTTAAGCAAAGCTCAAGGTCATCGCTTTTGGCCGCTTTTCACTTTAAAAAAGTTTGGGGTTTTGAGACGCACCTTAATGTGATGCACATACATTAGGTCTTGAGGATTAGGTTTTTAATTTCTTTGGGAGGATAAGAGGCTTATAAGCCTCAAAAGTCAGGGCTACGCCTTGAGGCACGTGCCTCAAGCCATTTTAGGTGTGTTCTTCATTTATATCTTTTTACTGCAAGTGTAACTTAAAAAGGGCCCAGTAATTTTATTTTATAAAAGGCCAAGTAAATTTTAATTAATAAAAGGCCGGTTGAGCATGTGTCAATATACACTTTCCAAACCTAAGAAGGTTGACAAGTGAAATGGTTAAAATAAGACTGGTATCCAAGGAAAGTAAGAAAAATAAACAAGTAATGGAGGTAGAGGATGAAGAAGAAGAAAGGGATGACTTTGATATTGATAATGGAAGGGCTGACGGTGATAAGGCTATAAGATACATCCAAACCGTGTCGTCTGTGTGATGTGTTTGTTTGTGTGCTTTAATTCTCATTTTGAATTATTGTATCGGTGATGCGATCATATAATGTGTGTGAGACCTTTTGGACTTATGGTTATGCATATTTTAGTTGGTTTTTAGTAGTTTGACTATTTTAAGTTTAATTTGGTATGCCTCAAGGCATATTGCCTCTCCTCAACAAACCGCCTAGGTACCCGAACTAGCCTTTTTAGACCTCGACTCTACCATAAAATTGAGTTTAAAAGAAAATAAATCATGAAATATAATGATTTCATTACTTTTACTCTTGTGTATTAGATTAAAGCATACCTGACCAGGCATGACATTTTGAGACAGAGGTAGTATTTCTTCTGAATTTGGATTAGTACAACTAACTTTGTAGACATACATTTTCTTCAATAACATAGCGGTCAGAAAGATGAATTTACCTGTGTCTGTAACTGTCCCTATCTCGTCTCCTGTCTCTATCTTTTTCCCTAGATGGACTGTGCCCATGATAATAATCCTGCATCAGAAGTGAAGACGAAAGAAGACAAAATAAACTATATGCAAAAGGAAGGATGTGCATTAATCATGCGAGAAAAAAATACAAGAAACCTTATTATGCCCAACATTTATGCCAATAGTAGGTTGTTCATCCTCATCCTTCTCTTCCTCCTCTTCAAAGTCATCCTCCAAAGCACTTCTTCGGGGTTCCAGTTGACCAAGAGATTCAAGGGTCCATCTAAAGGACATAAAAAAGGAGGTGAGAATATTAGGAACTATGCAAATTGAAGAACGAACAATCATGAAATTACAATGGAAAGATTCCAAAACTTATCTAACATAAACTCTATCGATTACAAATCAATGAACATAACATCAATGACTGACTTTCTCATCCTAGTTTATTACAATATGATTGTAATACTTACAGAGCAGAAAAGGCGAGTACAATTGTGATCTGGAATTCTAACAATCAATGTTTACAGATAAGGAAACAATAGGCAAATAAAGCAGCCCCTTAATCAATGAAATGACCATTCTAGTCAGCTACTTCTTTTGCACCTTTATAAAGCATGAAGATGGTTGAGTAAGAAAATGATCTATGTTTATCCCTACGTCAATGGTGAAATGATCCAACTTATGTAACCATCAAATTCCATGAGAGTTGTTGTACTTTAAGTCATCCGTCGACTCTGAAGATTGTGTTGGTGACACTTTAGTACTCGTCTTTGAGTTTTTCCACTTTTAGTCTTTCAACTGTTGTGAAGGATATACCCTTTGGTGATTGACTTGGAGTTTTTTGACTTTTTGAACTTTTTCACTATGTATTCTAAATAGTGTGAAAGTCACATTTTTAGTCCTTAACTAATACCATAATGACAATTTTGGTAGTCCACTCATTGTGGCAAAAGTGTCACTTTCATAGGTAAGATTAAAAATGAAAAGATTCAAAGATGGGTAAGAAAAGAGTTTATCACGATAATAGAAGGATAAGTGTCACTAACACAATAAATAGAAGGCCAAAAGTGCAAAATCGGATCCATTAAGATGCCGCAAATTCCGTCCAGAATTCATGACTATAGAATAATTGAACTCAACGTCTCAACCTTATGAATCATGAAAAACTATAACGGAAAGCAAATCATCACGTACCTTTTCTTAATTCTAGGAAGGGCAATATCACAAGAGTAATCTTTCGTCAGCAGCTCATCAATATACTCATCCACATGACTTAAAGTATAGTCTGTGACAAAAACAATATCACAAGAGTATAGTCTGTGACAAATCTTATAAGAAGACTATACAACACAGAAAGCAATAATGTCATAAGCATGTTAAAAAACTGGACAAAAAATAACCTACTTCCATCGGGTGATTTGAGCCTCAACTTTCGATAATCGTTGTAGAGAGGCTCAAGGTAGCGATAAATGTCCATATCCGTTCCGGTAAGACGCAAGTAAAAAGCACCGAGGGCACGCACGTACTTGTAATCCTCGTTTTTTATAAACTCGACTACAATGTCCTTCTCAGGCTGGATCTGGAGCATCTTCATGACGAGGCACATGAAAGGGGTAGGTTTACGGTTTCCACCGAAGGTCCCGCCAAGGTGATCGAGCTCCATGGCCTTGTCGACCAAAGTCTCCGCCGTGAGACCGAAGCATTGCTCCTTCCAGTAGGTGTTTTGATAAATCTTGGATCGCACTATCTTCTCCACGAGATTCTGCGGATTTGTGCCGTGTACGTTCTTCGCGGTTGGGTCCGTCCGGTTCGCCATCTTAGGGTATCAGGTGAAACCCTAACCCTTTAGCTGTATTTTGAAACGTGGGAAATGGGAAATAGGGGAGCCAAAAGAGCCCCCACATGAAAATGTTTGAACTTGAGCTTCATAAGAATTCATGAGCTCGAGCTTGCACGAATTAACATATGATTGGGGCTTGGCGTCCTGTTGGGGAAGTACGTCGCCTTAACATATGATTGGGGCTTGGCGTCCTGTTGGGGACGTACGTCGCCTTAACCCAGCCGCCCCGGGTACGACGCCTTGATGGTCCCGGATAGAGGTAAAAGTCTAGAGGGAGGTGAATAGACTTTTAAAGCTTTTTCAACTTTAAAAGTCTAGAAGGCCCTCTAGATGAGTTGATCTATAATCTTTTGGGAGATTTATAGATGCACAACGGAAGTCTTTAACCTCTTAGATAAATGGTGTATAACAACTTTTCTATGATGGATGATGTTTGGACTTTATGTAGTGAGCAGTTGGCTTGGCAGTGGACTGGATGGCAGGGAACTGTTGAGGCAACTACTGAGGAAATATTGAGTGTATGATGAAAGTGCAAGCATAATCTTTATCAGAATGAAAATGGCTTTCTGATGATGTAATGAGATGGGTTGATAATCAATCTTAATGAGAGCAGTGGTCTCAGCAGTTGGGTAGTAACCAGGGAACTGCTGAGGTACATGCTTAAGTGAAAATAAAGATATGGGAAGACTGATTATATAATATTGATTAGGGTGATGAGGGCTTTCTGAAGATGTGTTTTAATACAAGTAAGTGGGAGTTTTACTGGAGCAGTGGTCTCGGCAGTTGGGTGGTACTGAGGGAACTGCTGAGGCATCTGCTGGGTTATAGCTTGAGTTTCAGAGATTAGTTTGAACAGACTCCTCGGTGGGAGTGTTGTGAAAGTCTGATGAAGTTGAGATGTTCAAAGGAAATAAGTTTGTATGAGCAGTGGACTCAGCAGTTGGGTAGACATCAGGGAACTTCTGAGGCAACTGTTATGCTTTTAAGATGATTTACAGAAAACTGATGGAACAGACCTTTTAGTGGTGATAGTGCAATACTCTTGTGGAAAGATTGTCTCAAAGAAAGTGAGTTATTAAGCAGTAGGATAAGCAGTAGGGTCAATTAAGACTACTGCTTAGGATGCTGCTGGCAAACTACAATCTTTTATGAGAAGTGTTTGGTGTGTGCTTTGTTGACTGAAAATAAATCAACACACAGTATATCCTGGTTCAGAGGTGGTGTAATCCTCCTACGTCCAGTCCCACCCTCTTTCAGATGAATTTCCACTAAAGTATTAAGCCCAATACACTTAGTGTCAATCTAGCCTTTACAACACTTAGGCCTAGATTGAAGGGTTTTCACAATGAGTACAACACCACTCAAAGTTACTCAGTCCTTAGATTTTTCTCAAATGATCCAGTGGGGATCAAAAGATACTCTATCTATCTATCCACACTTTAGGATCCGAACAAATGTTCTCCTAAGTGTTTACAACAATTTGTGATTTGTTTACAAGAAAGTTCTAACCTCCAACTAGGAAGTAAACTTCTATGATTTGTAAACTGGAAGTTTAGTGAAGCATGAGTCCAAGCAGAGAGTAAAGTTGAGTTCGCACTTTCTATTTTGCTAGATAGCTCGTATATGCTTTGATGGAAGTATTTCTCTACTTAGGATGCTCAAGCTTGGTTAGAAACTTTCGTTTCAGTCTGTATTTATAGGCTTTTCTGGTTGATCAATCTTATTCGTTGGTTAGGATAGATTGATCCTGGACGTTGAAAATATGGCAAGGACAAGTTGTACATTCGTCTTCTTGTGCTGGAGCATTTATTGGGACTGTTCTTTTGTCTTCAATAATTTTGGCCGCTGAAGCATCTTCTATGTGTGCATCCCATGCTCCGGTCCCTAGTACTTGATTCAGTATTAAATACCGGTCAAGTTGTGTCTTCAATCATTTACATTTGTGTATTTGATTTTCGACATTAGTTTCTTTTCGATAAAATGTGAAATTTAATTAATCTTTGAGCTAAATAATATATACCGGTAGGATCTAAATATCATGTTAAGGTAAATAAAAATTACCTTATTGCATTTTTACTCTTCCGGTAATATTTCTTTAGTCTCAAAAATTGTACATTTATTTCTGTCACTTAAATTTAGCTGCTATCAAATGAGACACAATGTACAAGTGCAAAGTATAATGGCATCATCAAAATCTATCAAAATTGGGTACTAACAATTTCCTCCATTTTGATGATGCCAGAACTATACAACACAAGAAAGACATATTTTTATTGAATTTCATTTGGATTATTGTACATTTGTCTAAGTCTAAAGTACAATAGTTTTTAGTCATTTTCGGACTTGATCTAATCTATTCTTGTCCTTCTTTTGCTTTCTTCTTGGCCTCTTCCTTGACCTTGGCCTCTTCTTCTTTTATTTTCCTTATTTCCCTTTCCTCTTGGTACAGTTTGTTCTTTCTTCTGGTTTCAGCTCCTTTCTTGGCTGCTAGGGATCGCTTGGAGGAGGGGCCTGCTTGTGTTTATTCTTCCCTCTTTTTGGCAGCAGCAGGGGTCTGGCTTTCTCTGAAGAGAGCTTCAATCTCTGGATCAGAGTCAACTTCTACTTGGCGTCTCCGTGTTGGATGTAGGTCGTTGACTTCAATGGCAACTGCAGTGATAATGTTGCGAAGATCCATTACATCTACCTTAATATCTTCTTTGACAACTCGGTCCAACATCTGAAGATTTTGATTTGTTGCTTGTAGGTTTTGGCCAAGTTTTTGCAGTTCACCTCCTTGGTTTAGGAATGCTTCTTGAGTGGCTTTGTGCATTTTGATGAGGTGCTTAGCAACATCTTCCCTTGTTTTTCCAATGGCCTCTGAGTGTTCTACCTGCTTTGAGATGACTTTCTGTGAAAGATGAAGGATGGCAGGAAGCTCCTTGGTTTTGAGATGTTGTATGAACTCCTCATGCGCCTGAATGGTTGGAAGGGCCTGCTCAAGGTTAGAAGGTAAAGCAGAAGTAGATAGTACCTGGGTAGAGAGCTGGGCAGAGGGCTCTGCTTCTGGTTGGGTAGAGGGCTCTGCTTCTGGTTGGGAGGGCACTGCTGCAGCTTGTGCTTGCTGGAATGCTAGAACTTGTTTTTCTAGCTCTACACTTAGAGCTCGAAGTTCTGCAAGCGCTTTCTGGATTGCTTCTGACTGAGCTGGCTGGTTCTTGAGCTGGATTTGAAGCTGAGCCTTTTGCTCAAAGTTGAGAACTTGTTGAATCATCAGGTTGCTCCTGATGTGCTTGTGAACTTCTTCAAATCGCAAGTCCAGGAGGTGATCAAAGTGATTCTTCATTTTGATTAATCTCTTGTGCAGTCTAACCTCAGCATTACTGATAAATTTTGTAGTGGCCCTCCTTTCTTGGATGGAGACCTCTGCCACTGTGGGAGTGTCCTTTGTACCTTCATTGAATATTTGCTCCCTTATTTCATTTGATGTTGTAGGTTGCTGCTCTGGGGCATCTTCTTGTTGAGGCTCCAAGTTGAGATCAAGGAGTTGAGTCCCCTGCTCTAAGGTGGCAGCCAACTGCCCTTGAGGAGCCTTAGAGGATTCTCCTCCTCCTTGAGTTTCCATTCTGGACTTTTCCATGACTCTCCTCGTTTCTTTATCACTAGAGGAGGAGGAAGTAAGAACTTGTTTACCTCTTTGTTTGCTGGGAGGTCCTTGGGGAGCATCATCATTATCATCACTATCGCTGGAGTCTTCGATTATGTCTTTGGCAGTGAACTCCTTTTTCTTCAGCGCATATACTTGGTTGATTTTTAGGATCTTGGTTGCTTCTGTCATATCAATGGTTCCAAGCCATTCTACCACAAAGTCCTCTTCCTCTATAAAGAGTGAGAGGCTTTCAGCTTGATGGAGGATCTGTGATAGCTTCCAGGCTCTCCATGCTTTGACCCTGGCAAATTCTGCATCCAGCTTCTCGAGGGGAGTTAGGTTGGGTGAGCCCACTGCTGGAGATGGAGGAGCCACCTGCTCATCTAATTGAGTGGTCTGCTCTGCTGCTTGACCCACCTGCTTCTCTAGTGTAGCCGCCTGCTCTATTTGTTGTTGAACTCTGGGGATAAGGATTGAGAGGGGAATGATAGAGCTATTAGTGCCTTGAGAGTTGGATGGTGATGGAGAATGGGAGCCCGCTTCTTCATTGATGACTGGGAGAGGGGAGGCAACTGCTTCTTATTCCTGAATGAGATGTAGCGAGGAAGCTGCCTCTTCTAGTTCATCTTGTAGGTTTCATGTTGCTGTTTTTGGCCTTTTGGATTTGGGTTCCTGACAACCTGATCTGAGTCTCTTTACCGTTTTGGTATTAACCTTGAAGGAGATCATTAGAGGGTCATTGGAGCGAAAAGAGTCATCTGCCGTTGAGATTGTTGGTGCTCCTGATTTGGAGGTCTGATCGAGGAATTTCCTCCAGTTGGTGGCTTCCTTAGTTTCTCCCACTATCCCCTTCTTCTTGAGGATTTCTCCAATTAGGAACCCATATCCAAGCAGTGGAAGGGTCCCATCATTCCTTCTATCCTTGTGAGATTTGATTACATATCTTACAAACTCTTTGTAC